ACCAAGACGAAACCGCGGTCGTGGGGTGTCAGGGTTGGGGAGAGCAACACCCTAATAAATCCATTCAGGATACGATCCTCGAGATCGGAATGACCGAGGTTTACCTCAAAGTGAGCCGAGGTCTCAATAGAGGTTGCGAGTCGCAACCCAGCCACACAGCGTGCTTCCAAATTCAACTTGAATTACTTTCCGCTGTGCCAAGCATTGCTCGCGGATCTCAGTAGTATAGTGTTCAGGGCGTCAGCCATGAGCTACTAAGCTCTGAGTTCCACCCCAGCTCAGGCTATCTCCACCTGACGAGTCTAAACCAAGACGAAACCGCGGTCGTGGGGTGTCAGGGTTGGGAAGAGCAACACCCTAATAAATCCATACGTTAATGAGACGGTTGATATTGATTAGTGCTAACCATTGCTGGTATATTTGTTACAGTTTCGGCTAATTCACATCGTAAGTTGCGCTTCAAGTTCATTCGCTTCCTTGCTTTGGTGGGTTATACCTGACCAAACATGAACAGATGTCAGTGGTTTCTCATTTATTTCAAGCATCCTTTCCAAGTCCATCCTGGAGGACAGCTTCCCACCGCCAGTCTGTATCGATACATCCTGAACACTAATTGCCAGTTTTGTCCCTTCTGCCTTGCGAACAATCGATCACTATTTTACCTGGTCGGCCGAACTATGCTCCTACCTGAGTGTTCACTCAACGCCGTAATTCGACCTGGCGAACCACTGCCACAATCAAAAGAACAACGATCGACGAGCTAACCGGTAAAGGCGCTACCTAGGTGCGCTGCTTTGCAGGCTTGTATTATGTAGTGCAATTTATACCTAAATTAGCTAATTTACTAACCACTCACTATTGATTATTCACTGATGGCTGACCAGTAGTGATTAGGTAGTTAGTTACGTGTGTCGACACATATGATTTTGTTTTCCAGTTTGTTTGGCAACATATGGATGATCCAATCCTCGTACTTATATTTACCCCCCGTGCAAAATTCCATTTTACCCCTTTGGGTGTAATTAACCCAAGGTTGAGGACCAGTGGCTGAGTATCAACAGGTGGCTGATATCTTTCATGAAAATGTTTGATTATATTCCGATGGAATTGTACAGATTTAATGTTCTACTTGCTCCTACAATACAATACTCAGTTAGTATGTGTGCAAATAGTGAACGCTGGCTCCGCGAATGCATGGACGCACAGAGGATTCCAGCTTAGTAGCGCTGCCTTGAGGTGAGGACTCAAAGCAATCTGCAGGACCGAAGGGCTATCCGTTCCGAGGTGAATGCGCAAGTAGATCATCGAAGCACTAGTAGCTCAGTTAGGTAACATACTCGAGTTTGATACCGAACGCATGAACAGCGGTAAACACCAATGGAAGCCGTGCGCAGAACGCCGGCTGTCTTCCGACATAATGGAAGCGGCTATGCAACCTGACATCCTACGAACACCGGACAACGCTGCACCGGAAAAGAACACATCGACATTCTTTTGTGAGGGCATGGTCTCACCCTCCTTTTTGGAATATATGCAGCAAATCTGTTCGGTATAAATTCTAAAGCAGGAAACGAAACAAGTAATGCCTTCGATTGGCGACCGAGCTGTTCTGACCATACCAGGATGCGCTGAGGAATACGAATTGGCCATCTCTACGATCTCAATGGGTTTCAGTGGAATTGGATTTCCACGTTGGTGATGGTCTGGGAATATTGTCCTGCAGCAATAATAGTCAACGGGTCGGATAGTGAATATTCGTTAGGCCAGTAAAGTTGAGTCCGACAGAAACTTTACCACTATAGACCACAGTACAATAGGACGTGTTAAAAGGCGCCACATAAAACGGGGTCTGCGAGCTGACAAAGGAGCCGGATTGAAGCAAAAGGTTCAAGGCATGAAGGAAAAAGAAGATGAGGGTGCTTATGACGCCAGTGACCTAAAAGAGCCATTTGTTAGCGAGACGAACAGGGACAGGAGGATGACCTAAATTCACAGTAACGAATAACATGTGACTGCTGTGGTGGAACATTTCAGTTTTCTTTTCGACTCTGGATTGTCGCGCGTCAGAGTAGAGCATATCATGGTCAATTAAACAATAGACAACTGAACCCGCGGATCACAATGCGATGTTTTGCCCAGACGTTTTTCGTGCTGAGAGTCTGGATCCTTTGGTCAGTGTAAGGAATCGAATAATTGGTGTAAACAAGTGAAAGAATCAGTGAGGGAGAATAAATAACGTGGGCCAGAAATCCAAGGGCATTCGTGGTGCCTGCAACAACTAACAGGGTATCACAACTGTGTAGGCAGTGACGAGCCAGAGGCCGCCATTTTAACCAACAGCATTATGGTGCAAAGGGGATTCGCAGATGAGAGAATAATAAGCGGTTTCCAACGGGGCGAAGCTAAGGAAGGTGTTGGTGCCAAGCTACGCGTACCGTAGACGGGCTACAGCTATGTTCTTCGGTCTCAAGAGCACGCCGAACAACCTATCACCGCTCTACTAGGCAGACTCAAAATGGTGCTCCCATGAAATTTATTAACTTTCCACATGCCCGGCATTGCAACATCAGCTCGCGTCAGGATCCACGGCGGATAGCCAGTATTCCAGCATTTCCTCTCTCAATTTAATCGACGGGTTCTATTGTAGATTCTCATTTTGCGGCTATTGGAGTCACGCACTGAGGAGATCGACTTGAGTTGGGCTATGAGGGTGCCATCGTTTCGTTACTCGACAATCGCGAAGTAGCACAGTCAGCCCCGGACAAACTCACCAGGGTAGTCCCAACCTATGGGATTTGCTTCGCGCCTTCAAGGTGTTGTTGCATTGCTACCAACCATTGAATACTGAGATGCGCATGTGGAGACACGACATTCGCAATAGCATCAATAAGCTCTTGACGATACAGAACGTGGTCAAACGGTTTGATCGTTCTACATTAACAAGCCAAGCGTATGAAAAGGGTCCATGCTTCGTATGACCCAGTACATGGTTCGCCATCATATCCTCTCCTGAGAGTTAGTTATTTAATAATAATGTATGTGAGAGAGCCAGCCAACATCATACCAGTCAAACGTTTATTATGTCTATACCGTCTTTCCAAATGTCATTGTTTGATCTGGTTTTTAATCTTCCTGATTCACCTGTGATCAACGTTCTATAAAAGCACATACCTGATCATACCGATACAGGCGCGTCTCGCACGGTCGAGAATAAAAGTCCACTTATTTATTTATCAGTTTATCTGTTTTGGTAGTCCAATAGAGCTACGGGGGCGGCTCACGTAAGGTAATGTAATTTAGAACAGCCTTAGACTACATGCGACACATTTTGCGTTAGGATGGAATTCCCATTGATGTCAAAAGGCCGGGACAATAGTGAGGATCGCTCCGTAACACAGTAGTGAAATTTGAAGATTTCAGTCCGAAGAGCTCAGACGTACTCAGGTCTTTGGCTAGCATTGCACTTAGTATCGATTAGCGCCACCATTTTCGCAACGAAGTGGTGCGCAGGCGAATACTCAGTCTGGGCTTGTGCTATTTTTACCCGCACCTCGTCTAACGAGGAGAGTTTTACCTAGGTTACTTGATAATTGATAGCAGCAAAATCGAATGCAAGTGAAAATGAAATGCTCCACCAATAGATTGGATGCTATTTATGCATCCAGTCTTTTAGACGAAAATCTGTGCGATCAAATCTATGCATGGCTCGAGATATTACAAATGGTAGCGGCAGCATCACTGTTTCCGAATCTTGCCCAAGCTATCTGTTTGTGGTTTGCACGGCTCTGGGCTGCCTATGGAGGTTGGCTGAGAAAGAGGTGGAGCAGCGAAACCCGCCCCATTTCACAGAGTACTCAGCTGTCGATGAAAAAGTAGTGTTCCCCAGATGTATAAAACGTAGTCACGAATGTTTGCGCTATAAACACAGGTCCAATAGTTGAGCGCTTCTTTGGTACCTTGTCGATAATGACGTTTAAACGAATTTGTCTTACAGCAGCAAAGCCCCGGGATAATGTGCCAAAGCGCGTTGCTGTTGATGACGCTGATTTCTAGTGTGGAACAGTATGGGGAATGGAGGATACTGTGGCTTCTAAGAAACCTGTATACTCCGTTGGTTCTTCATCACAATACGAAAACTTGGCGAGGCTGTAACATGGCATCCGAACAGTGTCAAAACTGTTCTGATCGCCATCGTTGAAAGAAAACCTTTCAGGGGCTGATGCAAGGTTGATTGACAAAGTCGCTCGAATGCGAGAGATCGTTTGAGAAATTCTAGTGAGTTGAGCATCGTCATTGCTAACCAAAGAAGCACTGTGTGAACTGTTCATAAGAAACAGTGGGTAAAGCAGGGGGCTGCAGAGCTGTAACCAGTAGAGACGGGCTATCAGCAAGCGCCCACATAACAAAGACGCGTAGGCAAATCAGCCGCATGGGCATGGAGTGCAGTTGAAAGTAACCAAGAAAGCGCCACGTTTAACTAGCAGTATCTTTAGTCTCAAGTTATATGGCATACAATAGAGTTTAAAGTAAAAAGGCTCAGGCAGACAAAGGAGCCACGTGTGTAAGAATCTAGGGGATAGGCCACCTGATTATGCGGAAGGTGAGTTGGCATAAGTGAGTGTAACCCAAACAGTAAACACATTCTGGAATACTAATGAGTAGACGGGGTTGGGTGTGATCTTAGTTGCTTCATTGTAATTAGATCACAAGCGCCAGCCAATCGTTTCGTTGTATTGGGATTCGTCAGTGGTGGGCGTTCCCTCGGTCCCCCTAATGGATCGAACTCATGACTGTTGGTGGTTTGCATCACTAACCAGCAGTTTATGCCACTAAGCCATGGAGGATGATAGCCAACCAACATGGATTGAAATCTAACTGCGATTTAGCCCGATGCATTGTCTATTGAAATGCAGGCTTCTGCCTGTGCGTGGATGACAGTGGTTGGAATAGACGAAAGGTCAACAACTATGAGTGAGAGGAGAAGAGGAGAGAGAGAAGAGAGGACAATTGGGAAAATTTTTTATCATAGTGCGGAATATTGAAGAAATATTTACACATAATACAGATGGGGCATTGGCACGAGTTTAGGATAGAGCCGTCATAACAGCCTCTATACGAGCGACGTCATGTGGCCCACTCCGAACATCACATAGGCGGACTTCCCGAAATAGATTGTTTATTGAGTGGAACTGGCCGATGTCGGTGACGGGGCGGTGATTATCTGACGGCCCACGTGCAGTGGGTGTGGAGACGAAGAGGCGAAGACCACTCGACGATCCGGCGCGAATGCAAACGAAGCTGAAACGGGAAGCAGAATGCAGGAGAATATATTTCACAACCACAGCGAAAAGTATTAGAAAAAAAACATAAAATGATCAAGGGAAGGAGTACAACGTGCGATGTCACAGAAAAGCGAAAGAGGCCGACCATTATGCGCTGGTCACAAAATCCGCGGGGCCGATGACCGAACACTCAACGCCATTGGTTTAGGATGCGTCATCACGTTTGTATAAAACGGAAAAACAACTGGTCTAAAAACAAGCGAAGAGTTTATGGAGAACGTGGAAACGATAAGGGAAACGCGAAGGGTGGATTCTAAGGTACACGTGTCTATAAGGACTAGATGAACAGTACCGCAGTTGAAACTTCTTATTCATCATAGACAGGTTATCCGCCAGACTTACTTGGCATGCGTGATGGTTAAGTTATGATTTTGAACAGAACGAGGTAGGGTCCCGGGCGGATAATAAGCAAGAAATCCATAGGAAACACAACGCGAATCTTAACATCGCTTACAACGTAGTGGCGCGAAAGAAAATTTGAACTTTGTGAGAATCGACGGCAACAGGGCTACCACGCAGTACGGCCGTTTAGAGGCAGCGCGCTAAATTCTTATACGAATATCAGTTGAAGGAAAGAGGCCTCTACATTGCGTGAGCAGTGAGTTCAGCACTAGCCATTCTTCACAGTATACTTATGGGAACGCTAAACCAGATCACAGTAGGAGCAATAAAGTGGACCACATAAACAGAGGGTAGTGGTAAGAAATCAAGAGAACAATGAATTTATACGGGTTAAGAAGCGTTGCTTTACAAGTTCCGTTGGACAGTTGGTGGGGATATCGACATAACAATAAGGATAATAGTGATAGTAAAACAGTTAGTACTTTAAATATGAAAACAAGGACTTATCGTTAGCTCCGCCGTAGCCCTGCAGTCAGCTTAGATTGTCAGCACCCGCAGTTAACGTCGAATAATGTAATGTAGGATGGAGACGTAGTGCTAAGTGACAAGGTGTAAGAGGATGAGTGCATCATCCAACCGTCTTTTAATTACTGTTAGTGTCGGTGCAGAGACGACCGATTTTGGAAGAGCATTCCACGAGTGAAAGACAGGAATGGAAGAAATTCAAGCGGCACTCCAGACGACTGTATTGTTCTGCGAGTTTCAATAACTGGTCCATCAGGGTTGTATTGCTGCAGAGTTGTAATAAACGGTGACAGGCATGAAGTGGGTCTCGTAGAATCAAGTATGCCATAATCAGGTCGCCTCGTAGTCCACTGAATACCCATAATCCTTGCAACCGCTCCTTGTAGGAAAGATTACGCATTCCAATTACCTTTTAGATGCCTGACGTTGTGGCTGCTCCAGTGCATTAAGGCCGTGTTTCAGCCATGGATGCCTGGTTTGAATTGTGTATTCGACATGGGGGCAAACATACACACTGAGCATTTGTCGAAATATGGAACTGTTTATTTGTCCAAGCGCCCGTCGCAACAGCCCGAGGTGTTGATTCCAAGTGTTCGAGGCCTTTTCAGATTGCCTGGAGCAATCCGAGTCACGTTTCCGCCATCCAGCCCAGCCGTGATCACAATTGCAATCCGAGAGTCGTGTAAAAATCACGCTGATGTACCCGTAATGTGTGTGTTTCAAGTCAGCAGCATAGCTACATGCAAAAGAAACGTTCGATTATGGGTGGGGTTCCCTAAACCACCACTCTTCCTGGGTATTAAAGATAATTTCTTTGTTTTCATTCATCAGAATGGTAGGCTTGTAACAGGCCTCCAAGGTGGAACCCGTGACGGAGTAACAAGACAGCGCTTGCAAATGATGGCTGATACGAATAAGCGACAGGATGCTGCGGAATGGACGTTGTGGCAGAGCAGTACTTTTAAGGCAGAAATGGCTGAAGACAGTGGAATTAAAGGTGGACTGTAATGGATGAACTCGACTGGGCGTACGAGGCTAAGAAATGACATCAGCAGTTATTGTGTAGTCCTCGGAGAGTCAGAACGAAGTCGGAACACATGTGTAACGTCGTACGGGTGTTCTTTGATGACCGACGCATCTTTGATAGAAGTAAAAACACTTATTAGAAACATTAAGACTATCCCCAGGACCAATAAGGCTTAGTGACAAACATAAGTTTAGGCGTTCAGACACAATTGCGATGAAATGAGTGCCCTTTGGCCTGTAGATTTCCACATTCCCGCATAGCACCTAATAGGGAACAGGACGGTTGTACAAATTGCAGATGAGTCACCACCAACATGCAGGTCAGAGAGATGGCTTAGATCACGTAGATAGTTTCTCTTCAACAGTATCAACTCGTGCAAAGAATAGTGACGTCAATGTACCAGGTGGATAGATGTGGCACAACAAACGATGTGGATGGAGCAGATCGAGCGAAATATGCTTTTAAATGTTCCGCTGAACGTTATGGTCAAGGAACTGTAGAATATGCTGAATGCGCAGACCATCATGCTATTGCTTGCATCACGAGGAGCCACAACGGATGAGTGCAATGAGTAGTTATGAGCAGTACTGATTTAACCCCAATACTCCCGGCCTCTACATGAACTTTGCGATTCATAAATGCTATCAATAAATTCTCAGACCTCCAACAGAAAGCTGTTACGAAGCCCGATGCAAAACAATCGTGATTCCGATGTCTCAAGCTGGAGAGCAAGCAGTTTCGAATACCTTTATCCAAGGGTATTCGAGACGATTACAATCGGTTCTCCGTTCATTCATCTAGCTTGTTGGTAATTAGCAATGTTTCAAGTTGAATGTTAAACGTTGGGACGCGGAACTTAGGCCAAGGTAGCGATTGGCTAACATCGACGCAGATCACTTCGTGAAGTCCTGGAAGTGAGTGCTATGTGGGTACGAAAAGAGCCTGGTCGAAAACCAGCGCATCAAATCGACAAACAACCCTGCACTGGTGGGCTCCGTCTACCTACGATAACGAGGAGGCCAATAAGAGTGCAAGATAGTGGATCGTTTGGTGAACATGATGATATCGCTGCGAAAATTAGCGCCAGGGTGATGTGCTACTGAGCATAGTCGGCGCATAGCTGAAAGAAACCGGGCACCAGTATCAGTGATCAAACCGTTCACGTTCAACGTACTGTCCACTGCGCCGTCAATGTAGTCGCCACCAAGCACAAAATGCTGGAGTCTGAAGTTGCTGACTCGGTATTCCCATGAAATACGAGAAACGCTTGGGACAGAGGCGGGTGATCAACGCTAGCCATTTTCCGAACGCGCAGCGTCCATGTCCCTGAGCCACACATTATTGCCAACCGCATTGTAGCATCGTACATGTTAAGGGACCCTGCCCATAACATACATCGAAGCCGGACGCTACGCTAGCAGCCCGGAGCAGTTTGACCTAGACGCAGCTTGAACCTTATTGGCAGCCAATGGGAACGTTCCATTTCGAAGGTTACCAAGGTTACCCTGAGGCCCGCCAGTGAGCGCATCATTTCGGCAGCCAACACGCGCATTATTAGGCATCTAGCAGTTGCTGAGATCCAGACTTCCAACTAGGACATCAATCTCTCTTTTTTGAGCGCCTGCAGCTGACGGATTTATCGCAACATTCCTTTGAGCCCAGTCTTTTTGTAATGAATACTTCAAGAGGTTAATTGTCTTCTATGATCCTTATGTACAAGTTGAATAGGACACTCGTCATACATAAACCATTCACCTACGGTCACTGTTCTTTCATTCCTTTTCTATACAATGTTCCCGTTTACCATTGTTGGCCACGATTGGACTGTTGCCCGCTTGGGTCATCCAGTGGCGTCAACGGGAAAAAAACAACGGATCAGCGCACCGGCGTTCTATTCACAACTCTTAGACTCTATAAATTAAGCTATTATTTGAAAACTCGCTAGCTCTTTCGATCGATCGCCCGATCGAATGCACAGGGAAACGCGCAACCAATCATAAAGTTTGCAGTCCCGCGGCAGACTCTTTAGCTCAGTGATGTAGGTCTCGAATGATTCACCCGGCAAACGATTGCGGCTGAAGAACAGATATCTTTGGTACGCTTCGTTAGAGTAGACTTCACATCAAAGGTGCTTTCGATTCGGTAGATTGATTTGCCCTTTGGGACTGTCTCCTGAGGATAAGTGTGCTCCAGACATATGTTAATGTCATAACAGCACTGTACGTTCTTAGTTGGGACAGTGGTGTAAGACAAGGTTGCCCGCTGCCACTATTCCTCTTGAACTCCGCCACTGACGAAGTCATAAAAACGGCGTTCTCTGGACTCGACTTCGGTGTGGAATTGCTCCTAGGTGACTGACTTCTTGACTAGGAGTACGCCGATGACATTGCGCTAATCTGTGACAGCTCACAAACGCACCAATCTGCACTAGATAAATTAGCTCTGGCAGTCAGTCGTTTCGGACTATGCTTTGCACCGTCGAAATGCAAAGTCCTTGTCCAAGATTGGCAGGGGCTCACTCCTGCGCTGACCAATGGTGGTGACCAGCTAGAAGTAGTCCGGAAAATTGAGTACCTAAGCAGATACATTAGCACCCGTGGAATCGTAAATGAGGCCATGAACCGTAGAGCGAAAAATTGGGGGTGCTTAGCCAATCTCCACCAATTGGTGTCGGAGTGATATTACTCTCACCATGAAGGGCAGAGTTTACAATGCAATTGTCCGTTCATCCCTCCTGCAGGATTGCGAAACCTGGTCTATTAGATAAGCCGACATAAAGAGGTTGCTTAAGTTCAAACATCGCTGTCTTCGCAGCATGGCTCATGTCTGGTGGGAACACCAGGTTAGCAATGAGCGTGTTCGGCGTCGCGTAGTTGCTGCAGGAAGAGCGAGTGAACCGCTCAGCACCGTTTTATCACGCACCAGGCTTCTATGGCTGGGCCACGTGTTGCGCATGCAAGCAAACCGACTCCGGCATCATGAGTTAATTGCGCGCCAGGAGTCTGCAAAGGGCAATCGATGACTTGTTCTAGAGGAATGAAATCCCTCAATGCGAACCTAGCGTCGGTTGATGTTTCCTGATTGCCGGACTGGAGACCGAAGGATGGTGAACATGTATGGTTGGATACACCAGCTGACATGGCAAGGAGCCGACCTTGATGGCGTTCCTGCTGAGTTTATTTGTCTCTCCCCATCCCTCTTAGCGTCCCCCTCCAAGCACGATCTCAATCTAACGCATGATGTGACTTTGTAACCTGTAATGTTTAATCTCTTATTCTTTTGTATTGCGGCGCATTAGCTGAGGTGTGTTTCCCACTTTCCGCTAAGGTGTATTGATGATGATGATAATGGTGATGTTTTTTTCAAGCATCTGAATCTAAACAAGGGATGTACGATTTCGATTGCGCACCATTTCCTAAATGGTTTCCAGACAACGGCACTTCTCGTCCTTTGATTCGCAACCAGACAGGCGGCAGCAAGATGTGAAGATAACGATTTCATATCCTGTCGCCAGGTGGATGGTTGAGCGACACGTGACCTCTTCTAGCCAAGTCCTGCGCGAGCGAACAGGGTGTGATGGGATAAACGCTCAGCTGACATAGGCATGATGTGACCAGGCCAGCTTGTTGAAAGGAACACTTCGCATTCCCTAGGACATGGCGTCTGACATCATTGTTGCAGCTACGTTGTTGCCACCATACACACTTCAAGCAATCATTAATAAAAGCTGAGAGCTTGCGCATGAGATCTATACGAACTGACGACTATTCGCTTCCATATAGTCACACCGTCAAACAGTGGCATTGTAAACACGACCTATTGCCAAGAGGAAGAGATTCCGACGACGACACAAGTGTTTCAGGTTGATAAACACCGATCAAACATTGGCGATACGCAGGGAAGCTTCCTTCTCCGGTAGACATGCAGCTGCTCAGGTAGACAAACCTACCCACTTGTTCAAGCTGTGTAACTTCAAGATTGAGCACGGGAATGGGCGAGTGCCAATGCTGGAGTAGCACTTTACACTTCGACGGGGCGAAGCAGATTCCGTGTTTAGATGCCATAAGCGCCGAACGGTTTAGAATGGTTTGCATGCTCCGTGAGCCAGTACACAGCAAGGCGATGCCAAACATACTCCAAGCCGGTTGCTCCACAACAACGTACAAAATATCTACTGATAAATTGAAACTGCAAAGTGTAATGTAACGATTAGTAGCCACACGCTCTATGTTATCCGGATAAGTAGAGCATCGATGGGTCATTTTAGGGGAGTATAAACGACGCAGTAACATGGAACGGACGGTAACACCACTTCACAGATTTCGTTCCCGGATATGGCTCACAGTTTGTACTAGTGGCGCATCTGTTGTCATCTCCCAGTAATACTACCAGTTGAAAGTGTGTCGATGCTGAGTGATCTACGGAGTAATGGCTGATTATGACGCAAAGGCAGTGAAAGCCGCAAGGAAGCTGTCTCGCTGATGCCCCCCTTTATCTTTGCACGACAGCCAGCTGTTTGTGATGGTACTTTAACCCTGAAGCTGTGCTTAGCGGTTTTGCGCTAAGTCCGCCTTCACCCGTTCGGTAGGTCACTGTGGTTGTATGGCAGCGAAGTACCAGCTCAAATGACCAATATACTGCTGTTGATGATGATGGTCCAGTAAGTCAGAAACAAAAATCATCCCACTGTAAACAGAAAGAAGAAGCGTAAGCGGGGCCAGCTCCGCTTCAGTGTGCTCCGGCAAATGAGAACGGAGCCGCAAAAACATATAACATGCCATCACTAATCTAAATAGATGACGTGGCGATGGAACTGATCATCCGAGGGCTCTAACACGATAGAAAGAGGGCACTGAATGATAAGTCTACAGACTGGACCCCATCAAAAGTAAACGAATGCGAAACTTAGGGACATAATTCGTTGCGATCAAGACAAATTGAGAAAACCGCTAGACAGCAACGTGAAAGGACTAGATAAAACAGCTTGGTGTGAAGTTACAGTAGTGCAGAAAAGAGAAGGAAGGGAGCGATACCGTCGCTCCTGATGGACTCAAAGCACCAAGTCTGTGTATACGGAGCCCCACGATCCATCCGCAGGAAACGCACAGACAACATGCAGGCGATGAAATGCTGTCCATTTGGGGCAATGGACTTCTGTGTACATACAAGAGAACCCGTCCAAACCATCTGCCTATCCTAACCACAAGCCACTTCGACTAACGACATCCATCACGTAAACACTTCGTTCGTACCTCTTGCTGAACAAATTAGGCACATGTTCAAGTCCAACTAGTCGATTAATTGCACAAACCCTCGTGCACTGCGGTATAGTAGACCGGTGACGAATTGTTAGCGATAAAATTACCGGGCAAGTCGAAATCTGGATAGTGAAATACTGCTGTGGATCACCACAACTTCAGCAGGCCATATACTTGTCAAAAACCACTTTTTTCTTTCAATTCGCCGCCGCCCCGTCGTTTTATCTCAACCCCAGCTGGCACACCTGCCTGTTGTTTGTTTAGTCACGCCCTGGCACACATCTGTCCGTGACACATTGCCTCCTCGCTTGAAGTCACCCGAGAACCTTATGCGTGAACTAGTCGTTGCGTAGGATTATGTGACTGTTGGGTACCGCTTGCGGACCGTGATTCTCGTGATCGGGCTGTACAATCGCAAGTGCAGTTAGCTGCACAATCATTGTGTACCTTGTAAAGACTCGATTGTTTCTATACTGAGTACATTTTGTTGAGGTATGTCCGTATTGCATTTTGATATCTATTTGACTAGCACCATGGTTAGCTTTCAGCTTTGCTTTGGTTTGGCCCGGAAGTTCTACGAGTTACACAAATCCCAAGCGAATTTATCGCTTACATGAGTTACTAGAAACAGCCTTGGATGACAACATTCAGTTATGGTGATATAGTAGTTGTGGCATAATTCATGTGAAGACAAAAAAGCATACTTTTGTCCCGAAGGTGAAGCAAACATCTTCACCAGAGTGGGTCCTTCATCTGCCTCGTCCAGACCGCAGATACCAGAAGAGGAATTGCTGCCAAGTTGAGACCACCCAAGAATTTTTGTGATGAGTAGGTCCAATGCATGCATTTGAGTGTGTATCACCTGAAGAAGCAAGAATGACAATATCTATGTTGTGTCGCCACTGACGCCTCCATCCCACGACCACAAAAAGAAGTCCAAAGACGAGCCAGAAAGTGACTTGTATAAGTAAAATCACATTTCTCACCTGTTGATTGTTTTTCCGAGCTTGGTTAAGAGATCGCATACGTTTCACCACCATGCCCGTGGATGACGGACTGACAATTCAATAAGCAGCATTATACACTGCTCATTACCGCACTGAAGATGCCACCTCGCATGGTGGTGAAACGTATGCGATCTCTTAACCAGGCTCGGAAAAACAATCAACAGGTGAGCAACCAAGCTGGGCTACCAGTGTTTCAAATTATTTCGAAAATCACATTTGCTTATATAGTGTTGAAGGCAAAATGAAGGGAAGCTACTAAATTACACTTGAGCTAACCAACAGAAGGAAAACGTCAAATGCAACGGGCGAATAAGCAACCGTGTAATCAAGATCGAATGGCATATGTCCCTAAAAATAGCATCATGGGACCCCAAGCGCAAAGTGAACATGCATTTACAGTGACGGGCACCGGCCAATCAGAATAAGGAAATGTGGCGTTTAAACAAATGTCAAGAAACAAACGAGAATAAGAAGTGAAGACCAAAAAGTAAAAACCAGTACAATAATTGTGTGACAACTAACTATTCCTTTAACATAACCAAGTAGAAAAGGGATGCGGAGAAAAACCATTGGAATGTGTTTTGCAAATGGCACTGCTGAAAAGGACACGACGAAGAACGTCCATTAACAATGACGTGTGTGGACCAATCGGGCTAACCCAGTAGAGCGTTAAACAACAGTCAAGAAGTAGAAAATAGGAAGAATAAGAAATGGCTAGTAAGCTTGTTCACAAAAAATGAATGTCTAATAGCTGTTCTCCTAATAATCTAGACGCTACACATTGGTGAAAGCGGCAAACAACGAGTGATTTGTTCAAAACGGTTATAAACCCCAAACCAATGGACTATTGTACATGTTTTCTGCACCACAGGAATACAAAACAAGCCATTTTTATGCGTTCGATGAATGAGCAGTTATTCATTGCCATGGACCGGAGCGCTCGTACTGTGGGCTATTGTTTGGTGGAGGGGAAAAGTCACCGAGATGGGGCGGAGTGGTTGTCGATCACACAGAAACAAGCATCAGTTAATCTGGACAGACTGTGAAAGCTAACCGACTGGCTGGTTTTGCGAGGTACCAATAAGAAACGAATATAACGGGTAGCAATGACAAAGCGGTCGATTGCGATAAATTCAAATGAACCTCACACTGACACAAAACATGCACCTGAAACGGACAAAAATAATCTACGGAACCAGAGTGTCATCACAGTTAAAGAAGAATATAGGCATAAGTAGAACAACTTCACATATAGAAGAAACTTGAACTGCAAATAATAGTCCGTTTCATGGTGCGAAAGCAAGCAGACTTCAGAAGAAGGTTGAAAAACGTATGCTACGTCGAAAGCCTGACGTAGATTCTTCGCCCGAAGGTGTGGGAAATGCGCTACGGAAGAACCAAATGCAACTGACCCGTTCAGCTCGCGTGATCGTAGCAATGCTCAGTTAAGGAAAACAACAGCATATGGAGGCGTCCTTCCACAATCGGTAGCAGACCAATACAAAGTACTGTTAACCAAACGAATGTGATGCACACAACGAACCTGTTTGGTCAGTAAGTGTCGAAGTCTGAGCATATCAGTCCCCAGGTACAGCGACCGTGGTGGGTCGGGATAGAAAACAGTGATACCCGTATGAGACACAGACAATCCGAGCCATAAACGGTAGGCATCGTAGTTCACCGCATGGAAGCTGATTCGGGCGGAGGATAAGACTGCGGAATTGATGGCATCCCAATGGACAGTCATACGCACAGGGGTCGTTTGCAAGAAGTCGGATAACAGCTTTGATACCCTGAGTTTGCAGAGAGGAAAAAAGGAAAACTAACAAGAGTGAATGAAAAGAAAGCGAAAATGAAAGTTCGGGTTGATCCATGACACCCGCAGTGATATCTTAGCGTATATTCATGTCGACCAAAATACATGCATCCCACAGACGAACCGAGGTAATGGCCAAGAGTCAAAGCTCGCCTTCATGGTGGCTTTTGCGAGTTGTGTATCCGTCCACAGTCCGTACATCGGTGGAGGTTTAACAGGTTATAACTATATGTGAAACTCGATTTAAAAATTAACAAACTTATGATACGATCCAACACCGAAAATCAATCAGTCACAATACATTTTATGTGGCACGCTGGTGGAAAAAGGCTAGGCAAACAATGCGCATCATTCCAAATTATTGTCTGAATGAGAACAACTAAGCGCTAGTAACAACGAGCATTATTTTAGGAGTTCGGGTCAAGTACATGAGGGTGAAGTGGACAAGTGGATCCCGAGCCCTGTTGTTATCAGGTAACAAGCCGCCAGGCCTCACGAGTAATACACGCGACGACGGTAAAGAGTAGGCAAATGCTTCGCCTGTAAGGTGCACATTGAGGAAAAGACAAAATCAATGGTCGTGATGCAGGGATTATGTGAGGACGGAGTTCGAATCCACTGGACCATAGTGAATACCAATAATTAATGTTCTAAAGCACCTGGCCGTGACTTAGTGCAGGTGATTCTGTAATGCTAAAAGAATAATCACTACGAGAAGGACGAGACCAGCCCGCACAAGACAAAGATATAAGCATTCGACTATCAGCCGATCAGTAGCATTGATCGTGTGTCATAAACAAAAATCGAGAATCAATTTTCATTCCAAAATCTATCGAATATGTGGGTTGCCTGAATAGAGAGATAGTGGCGCAAGCAAAAACTAAGGTGTGAGGAAAAGAACTAAATCAAACACAGGCCATTACGTAAGTGTGTCCTTGCATTAAAACGGTAAGTAATGATGGTACGACATATAGCTTACTTTTCGCGCAGAAAATAATGCTTGCAAATGGCAATCGTTTTGTCAAACAATGACGCTGTGGAACCAACAACACTTTGGATAGCGCCATCATCAGCCTTCTTACGGGAAAGCATGTGTTCCACCGAGGCAACTGTTGCAGCTGCTTGCACGGAATCATCAAACGGATTGGGCGCAGATAGTAAAGAAATCGTGGGCAAGGATTGCGTTTGAGATCCACAAGGCATGGAACCCCATTCGGTGAAGAGAGCCAACCTATCTTGTGTGATGGAAACGGGAGCCAGACGCTGACTGACATGTGCGGTAGATTCCGAACCGCGAGAACGGGGAGCAAGATTTAGAGAGGACCAAGCGGCAGCAGCCGGACCTGCAAACCCAGCTACGCCGGCAACTGCGATTGAGAAACCTGAACTGTCCGCATCCACACTGCGACTGAAATACGTGGCCGGTAGGGCGTGAGCTCCGGCTGCACGGTGATGCGCCGGAACTTGCACTGGGCCACAAGCGCTTTGTGGAAGGCTTGCAAGATTGGACCATGCTACTCGATGTTGCGCTGCCAACAACCGATGTAGCTGCAAGCCCAACGAACGAATTGTGCGAATCGGTTTGGGTGAGGGCGAGAGATGAGCGGCCTTAACTGGCGAAATCTCAGGTTTCACATTCTCTACTTGGTGATCTAGATCATCGGGGACTGATGGTCTCGTGTCAAAACCAATTACGACTTGGACTCCAGGGAATATATTCGTAATGAGTTGGTCCTGTAAGAAGGGTTAGCAAAAGCGAAAATTGTGACAAGACGGTTTGAGGCGATGGCATGCGATGTTTTTGTGGATTTAATGTTGCGGACAACACAGCGATCATAGTTTGACGATGGCAAGATGAAAACAAACCAGAAAGATCCACGATGCAATGAATTAACTTGGCACGCACGGTAGGTACAGGATTCTAGGCTATAAAACCAGAAAAAAATAGTTGTGAGTTCACCAAAAGAAACCGGTGTACAGTCACTATACAAGAAGATACATTCCGTAGGCGCATTTGCCATTTTCCGCCCCTCACTTCTTTAGGACTCTCATGTGTACACGGGAGATGTGAAGAGAATGCGAATCGTATCTGCACCATACATCTTCATTCCCATGTTTAAAATCTACCATTTTTCAATTCGACTGTACCGCCTACGTAGTTACCTTTCCCAGCATCCGCAGTCGATAATAACTTGAATTCGCTAACACTCCCAGGGATTTATCGTACTGCACGAAACCACAGACCACCTGCTCAAGTTTTGCAAATATTCTTCACAGACATACAGTATTACTAAGCCCTAGTTTTGCCTAGGGAATTCCACGTGATTCGATAGTACAAAGGTGCTACACATGTGGTGAAAAGTTTGGAACATAGAGCTGACGCTATGCCCAGTAACCTGTGATAGATGAGTCGGATTTATTGTTTAAACTTGATGATGCCGATAAGGGTGTCTCACGTAGTCAGAAAAATACGTGTTTGGCGGCATCCGGTTCCGGATTTGGCTGTCACTGCGGCCTCCATAGGACAACCGTAGGACGCCTGCGCCTATAGGAATGTACAATATATACATATATATATATATATTAGTAAGAACGTGACTGGTATCATAAGATTTATCTGGCGGTCGAGTAAGAGCATGGAACTTCGGTTCTTTTGCTCCACGATACCGCCTTGAGTGAGCCTGTTCGAGTAAATCTTGTTGCTCTTGATACATCACGCGGAAGGGGATTCATTAACAAGACGACAGAAAGAAAGTAACGAGACGGTTGTCTGTCTGATGGAAGATGGGACAGCGGCGCAGGACTACTGTCAGCTAGTAAAAGTTGACGAGACGCAGTCGTGCCACTAGCGTGGCCGGACACATCAATCATCCGTTTCGTCGGCACATTAAGATTGAAGGAGGCATCGATGGTAGCAGGTTGAGTCAAATGGCCAGTGACAGGTCGATACAATGTGAATGTGCAAAAACTGATGAAAATACTCCGATCTCACAGAGCCAATTCCATGTGGAGCTGAAATAGTGATGGGGAGTCCCAAGCCAAAGCGGCCACGAATATATAGTTCTGGAAATCCTCCTTTCATTGTCATGGGGAGATGACATAACGACAAAAATATACCACTTGACAAGATAAATAATGGAATTCCGAAGGCTACATGAACGACCGGCTCGAGGATGAATCACGCGTGGACGAATTCTTACTGGAGGCATGTAGTACAATTCTGGATAGAGGAAAACACGGGATGGTACTACGAAAACAACATCTGAGAGGAGTGCATCACCTATGCACTCTGGAAATATGTGCTACATGGCGTTGTGCGGAAACATCCATTCATCGTAGACAATAAGTAATGAAGGAACAAAAGGAAGGAAGTATGAACCGGGAGAGTCTGAAAAATGAGAATGGTCGCGGCCTGATTCGTACCTGAGTGGCAAACGACACACAATCCGACGAAGACAGACCAGACTGAGGGTTCAAACCGGAGGACTCGGACGCCAAAGTGAAAAGAATCTCTCTGCAGGCCAGCAAGCGTTGGGTTTTCACTAACCGTTCTCGTTGGCTTAACCTTCCAGTGCAGTTTCTATTCGCAATTGTCTCTGAAGATGTGTTGCAATCTTGTAGCTCCAGTTTTAGTACATGGTCCCATAGTGATATGGGTCCCGAATCAATCCCCGTCTCCAGAAAACAGACCAAAAGATTTGGTTCCACAGTACTGTTCAATAACGCTTCAACAGAGCGAGCGAAGACAACCTAGAAGGGAGGAGTAACTGTAACTTAGCTTTTAGGATAGTGAGTAAACTGCATTGGCCGCATTGCGACAAGGGACAATGGCAGGGGTAAGGCAGTTGAGTGGAAAACCAATAATGGAAATAATTTAACGTCGGTACAGGGTGGCGAATTAAAGAACGTGCACCCACTCCTTATGCGCAGAGACGATTAATATCAAAAACATGCACTTGGACAAGGTCGGAGTATACTAAATAAACGCATAAAGCTTTAAAAAAATCGAACAACTTAGCGTCAGTAACGCACGGACAACAATCAGTCAGCCGGTTCCAATATGCAAAAGTAATTATCTCCGGTGTACAGTACTAAAAACAGTAACGAGATCATTAATGTGGGATTGGCCCTTTATCAGTGCGACGGTAACGTCAGAGTTGCCCGACTTATCACCAAGCGCACTGAGCGACCCCGTGACAAGCAGACAGATCTTCTAATATCAAAGTAACATGGATCTCAACAGAATATGCCTGGTCTTTCACGAGGCAGAGTCGTAGTATAGGTGGTCGAAGAATTAAATTAAATACAATGCGCACACGGCCAGTGGAAATCGCCAAAAAACACATGTGAGTTCAAGTCCCTCCGGTTAGCCTGTTATGACCAGTTGCGATATCACGAAAATGAAGGAAGAAATAACAAACAGCGAAAATGCGCAATTAGACTGACATGAATAGGCCTAGCGGAAGAAATAATTACTAAATGAAAAAGCTGGAGACCTTTTGCAAGTGTCACCGATTTTGCGACTGCAATATGCCGAAAAATGTAGCTAGTCGTTCGGGGGACACCAACCAGGACTAGAAGTAGCAATCACGATAATTATATAAGTGGATGGAAATTGGATCTTGTCCATCCGAAAACACTGCACACCAGTACGCGTTTCGAGCTTGTTTGCTCTCAGCAGATGGAGATAGCAGGCATTGAACCCGTGACCATTGGGATGCTAGTCGTGACCGCTACCCCTAAGCCACCGGGCAATGCTTGGCACATCGGTTAAGGATGGATTTTGAGGTCATTTTGAAGTACAAGTTGTGTGGATGGTTGGCGACCCGCAATCTCAATGTTGACCGCGATTCCCATTGAAGTGAACATTGGTCATTCGATCACGAGCCCCGTAGCTGATTTGTGACCCAAACCAGCTGATGGGCATCTGGCAATGCCAACAAATAACATACGCTGAGAAGATGGTCAATGAGTATATGAAGAAAAATGCAAACAAGCGTAGGGGATTCAAGTGTAACAGTCGATACGGGGGTACAGTGAGGGTTGTTGTTAAAGACCAACTGGCAGGGTGATGAGCGGTAGTAACTCAGTGGTCCCAGTACACGTAAGCAGGAATCAATGGTATAAAACAACTAGCCTTCGGATGCCCTAAAATGCAGCGGATATATCTATGATCCATACAGGGACACTGACTGCATTGGGGAGATGCACAGCCGTATCCGAACTGTATGATGATACCCCACAGCTCCTACGGATCGTTAAGGCACTGAAAAGCCCAACGAACCTTAAACAATGCGGACAATAGTCACCCCGGTGAGTTGATCGAAAGGACTGAGACAGCAATGAACAAAAATAAACGGATTAACTAATTGGTTGTTGATAGAGGATAACGGGAATCAGCCGTGTATCACTCGACTTATGCAAGGACTTGGTGGTTATAGGCACAAAACACACGCCAAGTCGTGCATTGCTTTGTATCCGCGTGCGCAGAAGCTGTGTTTAGGGGGCTGGGTTCGATCCCAAGAGAATGATATAGACCTCATTCTATAGTAGGGCAACCAGTAGTGTCATACGCATCCTAGAAACAGTAAACAAAACTAATGCAATACAGTTAGTCAGATTGGTTCATCTAATGAGTATGGACATTGCCGGTTCATTTTAAAGATACGCTAGCGCCATTCGAGGGCGCAAAGCTCCGCGACCACCGGTGGATAATGGCCTGAGAGCGATTCAGTTCAATAAAGGGCAAGGTGACTAAGTATCACCCTAGTAGATGTGCACCCTCATTGTAACCACATAAACATAAAGTACAGGAAATCCCTTCCCAGAGTCAACGTTGTTACAGATTCAGCGAGAGACTGCTAGCTTTCGTAACATATGACTTAAACTCAATAATCATATGGCCAGCATTGTTGATGCTGTGAAATCAGCAACTATTTCTGGCTCATCGTCATCAAAAGCCAATGGGCTGACATATGGTCAGTGATTCCGTAACAGTACTTCGCATCCTGAAGATTCGAAGCGTACATCAAAGGATGGAAGCATTCTACAGTTTGACCACCCTGTTTTATGACCGTTAAATACTGCAATGTTATCCGTAGAGTTTATGTCAACTATTTTCCACTGGGTAACATGCAAATATCTGAGTTCACAAGAGAGGACCATATGATAGTACACACGATACTTTTGAATAAACGTGGACAAGTAAGACAACTTAGGCGGATTCCGTCAATTGTCGCAGTAACGTTTGACAACTCGTCGTAGTCCATGACGCGACCTGCTATTTCCGAGTAGATGGTGCGTTTGTTGTCCGCTTCATTCATAGGGACACCTTCCCAGGCGAATGAATAAAACCGAAAGAGTGATCAAGCGAGTCCCAATCAACAGGCAAAGCTATAGTGCGCAAAACGTTAGTGAAACCCGGCATTGTAGAGTTAGAATTATGGTTGAAAGGCTATCATCACTTATTCCCCTACTACTTATGGTTACCATTACCCACGTGTTAGCGGGCTAAAATGAGACCTAACAAATTTGTCGCCACCGAAGTAAATTTGCTACTACTGTAGTACGAGCACGTTTCATGGACACAACAATAGTGATCGAACCGCCTACTCGAACGGATAAATCAATTCCTAGTAAAGGTCCATACTGCTATCAATAAATAATGAAAAGCTGAGACAGTCCAGATAGGAAGCAAACAAACAGTTGAGAATCATGACCGCGCCTAGAATTTCAGCTTCAGTTGGAGTTTAAACCTGCGTCACAAAAGCATGAAGCGATCCAGAAACGGTGAGCTACACGAACAGATCTACCCCAAGAGAGCGTAAGAATCAGTACTACCTGATGATCGATATGAGAGTGCAAACGCTATGATGAGCTGTGTATTGTCCCACTGCAACAAACATTACACATACCAACACAATCGACCGCATGCGAAATCTGTAGGGATTTTGGTATTAGTGGACAAGGGGAACTCGGCTTGAAGCAGGCGGCAGCAAACTAGTAAGTAACGGCTGCCCATTCCAGTCGGTCAAAATGACAAGCACCGCCAGTGCTCATACGAGTCGAGTTAAAAACATAACCCACAAACTGCTTCCCACATCATGGAGTTTTACAGAAACATCACTAATCTATCTCCGAATTTCAAGGAGGATGTGGGAAAGGATTTATCGGAGCTCTTCAACGGTTAGTTATTGCAGACCATCGTACAACACAAAGTTTAATGGTTGCCTTGCTGAACAAACTCCTCGTGGTGTCAGTTGGATGGTTCGGGATTATCCTGTATCAACCAATGGTTCGGCGACAGTGTTTTGGACGTGGTGGGTTTACGCCTGGCGTGTTATCCCTATAAAAGCCACATATGCCCGTTTAACAACACTGCCATGTTGTGTAGGTAGTTCTCCATTAAATAAAATCACTGTTCATTGCACCACTCCTATGGAGCATCGTATTTCAGCACCCCTTGCTGAAATCGTGCGGAGGATTGGGTCCCTGTTTGGTAAGCGGCCAAAGGTAAGGCGTGTGAACAGAGTAATCAGTCACCAGTTCCAATGGGCACAATTCCCTGACTTCGCCCTATTGCTTTGCGGGTGGTCTATTTGGCCAAAGGCTCTGGTTAGTGTCCTTTAATTCAACTTCCTACATCGCCTTGGACAACCGGGTAGTATCACGTTCTCTCACCAAATCCATGGACTGTTTTACAATGTGCTCATCTGCTACTGATACCGCTTCTTACCCTCAGGCGATTTCGTCACATGCCAATTGTTTATTTGCTAACAATCGTTCTTAAGCATTACCTAATTCCTATGTTCATGAATCTGCTTGCGATTCCGGTTGCACCGCGAACAATGGAGTTTAAGTTGTAGGTCTCCCCTGACCCCGATCCTTGTTCCGGCTGGTGTGTCACAAGGTACAGACACTTATATAGATTGTACAGCAGGCTGGTATAGCGCGCACTCTAGAGTCCTCCGATGCTGATTGCTGTCTTTCATAAGCCCGATTACAAGCTCCCAGCATTTTACTTTCGGTTTCAAGAATAAACGTATCAATTCCCTTAAACTTTTCTCAATAAGCACCTTCATCCTAGTTTTAACCTCCTCTTTTAGCATTTTTTACCGACCGAACTCCCCGAAAACCTCATTTAAAACTGCCCTGAAAAATTTGAAACATCTCTTTGATATCATGTTATCGTTGGGATCATGTTGTGCTAAATGGTTAGTTAAGTTGTTCAACTCGCACAGACAAAAAACATATATATATATATATATATATATATATATATAACCACGAAGCCACATATCACCTGCATCTTTTTGGAGACGCAGAAGCAGCCTCAGCGGGTTTGGTTGGTGTAAATATAGCACTAAGTGGCAAGGTTGAGACTGCGCTGCTGGACTGCTTTCTGATTAACAACCGGTTGTGTTCAGTTCGGCTTCGGGGTTCATGTACAAGCAACAATCGTCGCGACGAGAGACGCAACTTGTTTGTGATCACTGCGTACGCCCAAACTGACTGTAGTAGCGGCTCGGTCAAGCACGACTTGTATAGGGAGTTTCATCAGCACTTGAGTAACGCTAAAAATCGAATGTCGCCGTCACTGCTGAGGATTTCAATGCACGGGTTGGCTGCCTGTTACCATACGAACGCAAATTTGGTGATCAGCACTCGCTCGATGAGGACCGCTCTGAGAACGGAGAGATACTTCTCACATTGTGCGAAGACAACCACTTTTTTCTCTCCAGCACCAACTT